GTGCCTGCCTCTGCTATAACATTTGTAGTATGTGTTAAGTAATCCTTAAGGTAACATTTTTATTATGTCATAAAAAGTGCATGGCAAATATATTATAACTCATGGACTTTGTTTAAAAATGAACGGATAATTTATTGAGTGTGTTACATGAGCCTTGCTCCCCTCCCCATTTCAGCAGAGACCTGCTGATCATTTCGCCTAGCCTCCTATTGAGGACTCCCGCCCCGTGACATGCTGGGAAAGCAGAGCCATGGTTGGCTAGCAATTACGTCATGGTTTATGTTCTCAATAAAAATTTAATTAAGTCATTACAGGAATTGCAGTCATCATTTAACCCTCTGATTTCTTCTGTTTAGTTTATTATGAAACATTCAGTAATACCAGTCACCGAATCCTGATGGCTTATAAAATACCTGCATGAATTTTAATAGCTTAAATAAATGGGAAAATATGAGTAACTAATATAAAAGGAACCTTTTCCCATGTGGTGCTGCAGTATGTATGGGTTTTTATAAAATAGCAAAGCATTATGGAAAGGATAAGAGTTTAATAAGCAAGCAGCTCAACGCTATCCGGGAGGAGTTTCTCTTCTGCTGGGGCATCTGTGGATTCGTGATCAGGGTACTCCACTGAGAGAGGCCTGACCCTGGGGAGACAGGAAACCTGCACACGAGTGAACAAAAGGCCAAGTGAGTGAGTAAAATCCAACAGGGAAGCTCCAGACTATCCTTGACTGCTGAGCTGAAGAGAAGGGCCTGGTGGGGTGAGTCCAGCAGTTCAGGAAGCTGCTGTCACTTTACCCTCATCTGTTGCCTTCAGATCATGTGTCTGCAGTGATGGAGCTTCCAGCCTGTTCCAGGAAGGGTCCTTTTCATGATCTAATCCAGCCTGGGTGATGATATCTGAGAACCATTCCTCATTGTGGCCGTTTGCCATCTCTCATCTAGAGGTGAGAGGGAAGAGATCGCTTATAGGTCACTGAGTTAGAGGACCAGGAGGCAGAAGAGCCTTGCTAAGAAGGAGCTCCACTCCTGTACCCAGACTTCCTGGGCAGTAGCCAGCCCAGGATGGGAGTAGCCAACCCTCAATGGGAGAAAATGCATTTGTGTGTTCTTGGACCTTGCTGGAAAGTCAGAACTAAGGTTTGTAGAGCAAGCTGTTGGTGATCTCTGGAAATAACCCTACAGATAGGGAAGTAGGAAAAACACCCATAAATTAGATTCTAATCCTGACTGTGACGCTGACTTGATTTGTGACCTTGGACGAGTCTATTCCCAATGTTGGGCCTCAGTTCGCCATTTCCTTGGAGGTACTGAAGTAGGTAATCTGGAGAACTCGTCCAACTCTGAAGTTAATGGTGCAATGCCCCCTGTAAGCTGCCTCTGCTGGACGTGTTGAATGAATGTTTCCTAAGAGAGGCGCTGCTTGGGATTGTCCCTTTGTGCTTGCATAGTTAGAAAATAACTGGTGCGGGGCTGGGAAGGTGGCTCAGTGGTAGAGCGCTTGCCTTGTATGCGTGAGGCCCTGGGTTCGATTCCTCAGCACCACATAAGCAAAAAGAAAAAAGCTGGAAGTGGCGCTGTGGCTCAAGTGGTAGAGTGCTAACCTTGAGCTGAAGAGCTGAGGGACAGTGCACAGGCCCAGAGTTCAGGCCCCATGACCGGACCCCCCCCCAAAAAAAAAAAAAAGAAAATAACTGGTGCCAGGTGCTGGTGGCTCATGCCTGTAATCCTAGCTACTCAAGAGACTGAGATCTGAGGATAGCAGTTCAAAGCCAGCCTGGGGCAAGAAAGTCTGTAAGACTTCAATTAACCACCACAAAACTGGAAGTGGTCCTGTGGCTCAGGTGGTAGAACACTCTCCTTGAGCTGAAGAGCTGAGGCACAGTGAAGAAGAAGAAGGAAAGAAAGAGTGAAAGAGAGAAAGAAAAAGAAAAAACAACTGGAATGGGAGGAAAGGAGCACCCTAACATGAGTATTAAGAGGTCCATTTGGAAGTGGCGTTCTGGCTCAAGTGGTGGAGTGCTTGCCTTGAGCTGAAGAGCTGAGGGACAGTGCTTAGGCCCAGAGTTCAAGCCTCATGACAAAAAACAAAGAGGTCCATTTGAAGTCTCAGCCTCACATGACAGAAGAAATGAACTCTTAACTCTAGCTGGGTTCTTGACTCTTGTACCCTAGCCCATTTGGAAGTTGTTGCACATGTTTGATAGTATTTGTGTCTGGAATTTCAGAGACACAGGGAGGTGTCAAAAGCAAAACCAAAATAACTAGAGTTATTGGACAAACATGCTTTGAGTGGTACTCCATAGGATTTAGTTACCAATGTGCCTGTCTTAGCCTCTGCCCTGGACCAGGCCCTCACCAGGATGTTCAATCCGGCTGAAACCGGTTCAAACCGGTTCATCCAGGCTCCAACTGGTTCAAACCGCCTTGATCCGGTTCAAACCAGCTTGATCCGGTTCAATCCGGCTGAAACCGGTTTTATTGAACCGGTTTGAGCAGGATCGAACCGGCTTGAGCCGACTCGAACCGGTTTGAGCCGGGTTGAACCAGTTTCAGCCGGATTGAACCAGATCGAACCGGATCAAGCCGGTTTGAACCAGTTTCAGCCGGATCGAACCGGATCAAGCCGGTTTACAGGTTTCGGCCGGATCGAACCGGATCGAGCCGGATTGAACCGGTTTGTGCCGGTTTGAGAGCAATTCTCAGACAGGTGGGAGAGGCTGACTGGAACTCTGTAAACTATGCTGTGTACCTAGAGGGAACAGTGTACACCCAGCTCCGAGAACATAAAGGATGGATGGCTCATGTGGTCTGGGTTGAAGGTGGGCAGGAAAGGTCATGGTTTGCATTCCCAAGTACTACCAATCTCACATTTTCCAGCCTTGAGCTTCACAATTCTCTCTTCATTTTTGAAAATTATCCATGACTATAAAGTATTAGAACTGGTTTTCATTTTATATAAGCAAACCAGAAGGTGTTACTCATAACTCCTTCCATTTGCAGAGCACTCTGCACTTCAACAAGGGTTTCAGGCTATGTTGTTAAGTTAATGAATGAATATATACTAACTCATTTGCTCTCCAAAACAGCCCTTGCATGCAGGGCCTTGAGAAGACAAGAAAACAGACTCAGCTTAACTCAGTCAAGATCCCATCCAATGTCCATAGAAGAACCATGACTTGAACCCGGGTTTTCTGACTAAATCTAATCATTGTACCTTTTTCTGCGCTTCTACAGAGACCAGTTATGATCCTTAAGATAAAATCACTTAGGTTTGTTTTTTGTCCGCCGTGGGGCTTGAACTCTGGACCTGGGGTACTGTCCCTCAGCTCTTCAGCTCAAGGCAAGCGCTCTACCACTTGAGCCACAGCACCACTTCCAGTTTTCTGGTGGTTAATTGGAGATAAGAGTCGCACAGACTTTTCTGCCTGGGCTGGCTTTGAACTTCGATCCTCAGATCTCAGCCTTCTGAGTAGCTAGGATTACAGGCATGAGCCACTGGCGCCAGGCCACGTGGGTCTTTGGATTTGTAATCCAAAGTAAAATGATTTTCCTGGAAGCCGGCACCTGTGGGGCGTAATGAGCACTGACCCTGGATTCGGACTGATCCAATGCTAATCTCACCTTTATTAGTAGATTACTATATGACCCAGGGCTGGCCACACCACTTTGAAGAGTCTCTGAGGTAGTCACTTCTATAAGTTCTGGTGAGGATTAGAAGAGCTCATGTCCATAAAGCACACACCCCCTCCTAGTAGCTTTTTTGTCAGCTATTTAGAAGTAAGAATCTCAGGGACTTTAATTCCTGGACTGGCTTTGATGTACTCTAGATGTCAACCTCCTGAGTAGCTAGGATTACAGGCATGAACCAGCAATGCCTGGCTAGGAATTATATTGTGTCTGTCTGTCTCTCTGTCTCTCTGTGTGCTTATGTGCGTGTGTGTCAGTATTGGAGTCACGAGTTCAGTGTCTCATGCTCTTGCTTAGCGTTTTCACTCAAAGCTAGGGCTATACCACTTGAGCCACACATTTGCTTCTGGATTTTCGCTTATCAACTGGAAATAAGAGTCTCACCAGTTTGTCTTCTTAGGTTAACTCCAAACCTTGATCATCAGATCTCAGCCTCCTCAGTAGCTAGGAATATAAGAGTGAGTCACCACTAGGCTTGGCTAGGAGTTGCACTGTGAAACAATCTCTTAGCATGAATGTTTCTACTACTTCATAGTTGCTCATCTTGCCTCCCCCACAGCCTCCACACACAAAGCCTTGGGGCTCTCCTTGCTCCTCAGCATCTTGTTCCTTGTCTTGAAAACCCTCTCTGCCTCCAGTCTTCTGTCATGTCAGACTCTGCTCAGGCCCCCTTCAGTGCACCCTTCCCCCGCTCCCCACCCATAGGGCATTTGCACTGAAATCCACTCATCTCTTAGCACATTCGGAGTAGAATTTGAGGTACCAGGTGAGCAGTAGGCTTTTTTTTTTTTCCAGTCATGAGCTTGAACTCAGGGCCTTGGCGCTGCCCCTGAGTACTTTTGCTCAAGGCTATCACTCTACCACAAAGCCACTTCCAGGTTTTTGGTGGTTAATTGGAGATAAGGGTCTCTCCACCTTTCCTGCCTGGGCTGGCTTCCAACCCTGGTCCTCAGGCATTAGCATCCTGAGTAAGCTAAGATTGCGAGTGTAAGCCCTCAGTTCCCAGCTTTGTCATTTTTAGTGCTGGTTTCCTGTATGCTTCTCCAATCAAGACACTGTTTCTCTTACTTGGTGAATGAAGGATCTAGCACAAAACTAGGCACATAGTTGGGGGATCAGTTCATTAAACTATGTTGGGTGGCAAATTAGGACAAATACTGATAGATGAGAGGACTGGTCAGGTTGCCTTGTTAAGCACCCCTTTCTCTTTGTCCTCCCAATAGCTTGTGACAACTAAGACCGTACAGTCATAGTTTTCAGCATTTTTTCCTTTCTTTCATACTTCTGCTCTTGTCATTTCTTTTGTAGGTTAATTCTTATATCCTGAAGAAGAATATGCTTCTTATGACAAATAATTTCTATGCATCAATCTTGGGATATGATGAGGTAAGATTCATTAAGCCTTTGGCTATACTGGGATTTGAACTCAGAGTCTCACACTTGCTAGGCAGTACTCTACCTCTGTGCCCTGCCTCCATCCCCAAGTACTTTTTTTTTGGTCAGTCTGGCACCTGGGCTCTGTCCCTCAGCTCTTCTGCTCAAGGCTAGTGCTCTACCACTTGAGCCACAGCGCCACTTCCGGCTTTTTCTACTTATATGGTGCTGAGGAAATGACCCCAGGGCCTCATGCATGTAAGGCAAGCACTCTACCACTGAGCCACCTTCCCAGCCCCGCCCCCAAATACTTTTGATGATAAGATGTGAGGGAAATTTCTGAGACCATCGTTGCCTGTCACCACAGCTTAATAGTCATTTCTTCATCTTCTTTGACTGGTTTGCCAGGGCTTTTGAAAGAGAATGTTCCAAAATATGGGTGCTGGATAGAGAAACAAAGGCAAAGCATATCTTATCTCAAAGCTTGCAGTTCCCAGAGACACACTTTAACATAGATAAGCATAGTCTGTAGACACATTACACACTGTTTTTTACTCATTATAAAAGCAATACAGGCTGGGCACCAGTGCCCCACACTGGTAATCCTAGCTACTCAAGAGTTTGAAATCTGAGGTTCATGATTTGAAGCCAGGCTGGGCAGAAAAGTCCATGAGACTCTCCAGTTAACTACCAAAAAGCCAGAAGTGGAACTGTGGCTCAAGTGATAGAGCAATAGCCTTGAGTCAAAAAGCTCAGGGACAGCACCCAGGCATTGAGTTTAAGCCCCATTACTGGCACCAGAAACAACAACAACAACAAAAAACAATAAAAGCAATACATATACATTTTAAAAGTTCATAAAGCTGGGGCTGGGAATGTGGCTTAGTGGTAGAGTGCTTGCTTAGCATGCATGAAGCCCTGGGTTCGATTCCTCAATACCATATAAACAGAAAAAGCTGGAAGTGGGCTGTGGTTCAAGTGGTAAGAGTGCTAGCCTTGAGCAAAAGAAGCTCAGGACAGTACCTAGCCTTGAGTTCAAGCCCCAGGACCACCCCTCCCCCGCCAAAAAAAAAAGAAAGTTCATAAAGCTGCTGGGCACTGGTGGCTCATGCCTGTAATCTTAGCTACTCAAGAAGCTGAGATCTGATGATTGCCATTCAAAGCCAGCCCAAGCAAGAAAGGCCCTGAGACTCTAATCTCCAGTTAACACCAGAAAACTACTTCTGGTAGAAAACTGCTACCGGAAGCAGCACTGTGGCTCAAAGTGGTAGACTGCTAGCCTTGAGTGAAAGAACCTCAGGGACTGTGCCCAACAACAACAAAAATAACTAAAAGTTTGTAAAACTGTGTAACAGATTGAAATTGAAAGTAGAAGTTCCATTCCATCCCTGCCCTAGTCTCTGTCACTGAAGAAAACTTCATTCATAGTTAATCGTATGTCCTTATGGATGTTATCTGTGCATAGGCAAGCATCAATTTTTCCCTCCTTTCTGCCAATGAGACTTAAACCTTGCAAAGTCGTCTTCAACTTGCTGGGGTTTTGTTGTTGTTGTTTTTCAGTGAGTGATATGTCTTGAGCATGTATCTTCCCAACTAAAACTTTACTCATTGAACACACATCCCCACACCCACCTTCCCCTAGCCTCTGGCAATTCCTATTCTTTTAACTCTGTGAATTTGACTTCTTTAGAGACCCCATGAAAATGGAAACCTTAGAGTATTGGTTCTTTTGTGACTGGTTAATTTCACTTAGAAGGTCCTTAAAGTTCATCTGTCATAGCATTAATTTCATCCCCCTCCAACATTTTATTATGGAAAATTCAAGCATATAGAAAAGTTGAAAGATGCTGTAATGAACACCTGTATATACACCACCAGGATTCATCTGCCTCATTTTTTTTTTTTTTTTTTGACACACCATGTGCTTTTAAACTTACCTTGCGGTTACATCCACCTCTAGACTTCTCCCACTGCTTAATACATTAGTGCTCCTGTCACTCTGGCTGGGTGGAGATTTCTTCTGGGAAGTGGCAATGCCTGCTATGTGTATATTTCTGTACCTAGCATGGCACTTGGTATGTAGTAGGTACACAGACATGAAGGAAATACACCATGGAATGAAAATCAGAAACTAATTTAAATCGGACTCCAGTGGCTTATGCCTAGCTACCCAAGAAGCTGAGATCTGAGAATCATGGTTCAGAACCAGCCCAGGCAAACAAAAAAACCTATCTAGTCATTAAAAAACCAGAAGAGTCCAGGTGCCGGTGGCTCACACCTAGTTACTCAGGAGGCTGAGATTTGAGAGTCATGGTTCAAAGGCAACCCAGACAGGAACGTCTGTAATACTCTTAACCTCCAGTTAACCACCAGTAAACAAGAAATGAAGCTGTAGCTCAAGTGGTAGAGCACTAGCCTTGAGCTGAAGAGCACCCAGGCCCAGAGTTCAAGCCCCATGAAGACAAAAAACAAACAAAATGCCAGAAGTGGGGGTGTGGCTAAAATGGTAAAGCACCATAGGTGAAAAAGGCAAATGGGAGTGTAAGATCTAGAGTTCAAAACACACACACACACACACACACACACACACACACACACACACACACACACACACACACACACGTGGGAGTTGGACATCAGTGGTTTAAGCTTCCAATCCTAGCTATTCAGGAGGCTGAGATCTAGAGGATCATGGTTTGAAGCCCGCCCAGGGAGAAATGTCTGTGACACTCCCATCTTTTTCCACTGAGTTTACCTTCTAGTTGAGAAACAGACAATAGACAAATAACAAGCAAAAGGGCAAATGTTTAATTACAAATGCTTAATTACAGTGATGGAGAATAACAGGAAAGGACTTAGTGTGGAACAGAAAGGTCTCTCTGAGGACTCATCACAAAAGCCAAGGCTGAGGAATGAGGAGTCGTGAGCAGCCTATAGTTTATATATGTATAGTAAATGCAAGTTAGCATTTGTCCACTTCCCAGGAGTTTGTTCTGTGCTGCTGTTGGGTGCCGGTGAGCTTTGGTGTTCTAGGTTGCAAGCTCCTGAGAACTGAGCCCAGGCTATTGTGATTCCAAGTTCTTAAGCTCATGTTAAGATAACAATTGTCAAATCAGTCTTTTTTTTTTTTTTTTTTGGTCCAGTCATGGGGCCTGAACTCTGGACCTGGGCACTGTCCCTCAGCTCTTCAGCTCAAGGCTAGCACTCTACCACTTGAGCCACAGCGCCACTTCCGGCTTTTTTCTTTTCTTTTTTTTTTGGGGGGTCCGGTCGTGGGGCCTGAACTCTGGGCCTGGGCACTGTCCCTCAGCTCTTCAGCTCAAGGCTAGTGCTCTACCACTTGAGCCACAGCGCCACTTCCGGCTTTTTTCTTTTTGCTTATGTGGTGCTGAGGAATCGAACCCAGGGCCTCATGCATGCAAGGCAAGTGCTCTACCACTGAGCCACCTTCCCAGCCCCTCAAATCAGTCTTTATTGAGTGAAAACTCTGCCATTCCAAACTTATCACCATACCTAGTACCTCCCTCCCTCTCAGTTCCTCTAGATATAGACAGCCTAATTTCTTGGAGAATGCTTGCTTGCTTGCTTTTTTTTTTTTTTTTCCTTTTTTGTCTGTCATTGGGCTTGAACTCTGGGTCTGGGTGCTGTCCCTGAGTTCTTCAGCTCAAGGTGAGCATTCTACCACTTGAGCCACAACACCACTTCCAACTTTCTGGTGGTTAATTGGAGATAAGAGTCTCAGGGACTTTTCTGCTCAGGCTGGCTTTGAACCTGGATCCTCAGATCTCAGCCTCCTGAGTAGCTCGTATTACAGGCATGAGCCACCAGTCCCTGGCCTGGAGAATGCTTTCTTTGTATTATGCGGAGAAATAAGCTAGATACCAATTGGATTATGGGAAAATTGTCATGCAATCTAATGAGCTCTTTGGTACCTTTATTCCTGTTCTGCACTCTCAGACATGACCTCCATTTGTTTCCATTGAGTTACTAGCAGGCTGGTGGAAGGAAGGCTGCAGCTGTGTTCAATGACCAATGCGGCCGTTTTCAGTCCACTGGCACTGCATACCAGCCTGTGCGCCATGCCTAGAGCTAGATAGGCACCGTCCTCTAACCTCACCAGTGCAGCCTGCTGCTTCTTCCATCACTAATTAGCTAGTTAACCGCCGAGCCTTCGTCCTTCCAGTGGGGGAAATAATGCCTGTGCTGCCTGGCGTACAGAGTTATGAGGTGCCACGTGTAGCGGAACCCTGGCAGTCTGGAACAGTCGTGGTGTCAGCACTGCTCACTTGCCTTGAGCCCTTTTCTCTGACTGCTTAGAACTCCTGCTTTTGATTTTGTCTCCTCCCAGCTACCTTGCCCACCACTGAGGCTGCTTATTTTGTGCCAGGCTTTGCCTATCATAGCCCCTGCCCCTGCTCCGAACCCCCGTGACAGCCACCCCCTCCATCCTTCCCATGTCACATGTATGGATCACGGCCAACAGCACTTCGGCCTGTGCCCAGGCCACTTGAGACACAGGCAAGCTGTTGTGTGAGCAAATGGCTTAGAGAATGATGTGCCTGGGCTTGTCCTTGGCTCCTGCTGCCATCTTCCAGAAGAAGCAGGATTTCCCAACTCGGCCATTGTGCCAGGACAGTCTTCAGCCGTGGAGCTGTGTGGGTATTTAGCAGAGGGTATCTGGGGTAGGTGGAATGCTCCTCCCCTCAGTTGTCACCTCTGGACATGGCTGTTCTGGGCAGTGGGCCTTGGAGCCAAACCTCACATGCCACAGTGCCCAATAGACCGACCATTCTATCACATGCAACCCTAGCCCCGGGGGCTTTTGTGATGTTTGCCAGCAACTTTTCAGGGACATTGTTTCTTAATGCTCACAACTCTGTTTAACTCATGAGAAACCAATGCGTGTGACGGTCTAATTGCTTTTTTAGGGTGACACAGCCATGAGTGACAGAGAGGCCTCCCAGATCCTGCTGTTGCCTTGACTGTCTCCACAGCTACAGGCAAAGCTTGTGCTAGTCCTCATATCCAACTTACCACACTTTAGAAAATGCCTCTATAATACCCTTTGGTTTTGTTTTATTTTTTGGCGTTGAGGATTGAGCCCATGGCCTTAAGCATGTGAGGCAAGTGCTCTACCATTGCACTACATCCCCAGCTGAATTATCTTCCCTTTAAAGTTCAAGGAAGCTGTATTGATTACAAATACTCAGAGCAAGTGTTTTCATGTCTTTGCAATAGTAATAGCTACCACCATTGAACATGGTGCTGCAGAACTAGGACCTGATCCAGCTTCCTAGCTCCAGGTCAGCACTGTGGTCCACACACTTCCTTGGCACCCAGACAGAGCAACTTCTCAGGGCCTTTCCTTTTCGTTGCCCTCATCCTCCATCCCCTAGAGGTCTGAGATGGAAAATGGCTGTCATTAGCCATTTGTGATATCTGGACTTCCTAGCAGAGTTCTTTGTGCCCAGAGAAGCAGTGTTGGGTGCGCGTCACAGACACACATACACACACACACACATACACGCTCTGAACTTTGCCCTTTGTGGCTCTCCATAGTCCTTGACAGTCCTGCTTGTTCCTCTGCTTAGAGAGAGAAAGAGCAGGCCAGTCATGGCCAGCCCAGAGATGGGTGATGGTGAATGCAGGGTAGGTACCTGACTGCCTTTCCCAGAGAGCCAGCTGCCATGCAGATGTGTGTCTTTGGTCCAAGCACGAGGGCACAGTCCATGCCCACCTCCATTCCCAGAAAAACAGCCTCACAGTCCTGCTAGCCTGGGCCCTGTGGACAGCAACGCAGCACTGCTACTTCCATTTCTCAAACCATGCCCGGGAGGTCATATCAGACATGAGTCCTAGCTCTGCCTCACCTCGGCAGTGATAGGCCCCTGGAGGCCCCATGTTCTTTGCTCTATAAAAACAAAGGGGTTAAGTGAGCTGCTCATAAGACCCCTTCCGCTCTACCGCTGAGCTCCCATTTCCCTCGCAGTCAGTGAGGTCCTTTTGAGCCAGTTCACAATATCCCCAGTGTTTACACCGTGGCTCTTCGCTACTCCCTGAACAGTTGTGCTCTGTGTTCTAGGGGATCCTCTCCGATGACCACGGGCTGGCTGCTGCCCTCTGGAGAACCTTCTTCAACCAGCAATGTGAAGACCCTCGGCAGCTTGAATTGCTGGTGGAATATGTGAGGAAACAGGTGAGCTTCCCCAAACACATTCATACACGGAGGTTTGTGGAAAGCAGGTCCTCCTTAGGAGGTGGGCACTGGACTCAGTCTAAGGAAACGCTGATTGACAGCAGCAGGCACTGCTGGCGAATGAGCACCTTCTCTTGTCCAGCCAGGAAGTGGACCAGGGCTAGAGAAGAAGGAGACTCACTGAGTGGCCTCTTGCTTTCAGAAAGCTGCCATCATTTATTCATTGACTCATTCCCTATGTTGTTTCTTTCCTTGTACTGAGAGCTATGCCAAATCCTGAGCCCTTGGAGTCCTGAAAGATACAAGCTTGGGGCATCGCAGGCCACCCGCTCGTGAATTCATTTCCTACTCCTGACCAGGTCCAGGGTCCAGGCAGCATTTCACAAACACCACCACTCCCTGGCTCTCCCCACTATTGCTCTCCAGTCAAGGGAGCCCCTCCCACTTCAGGTGTTCATCTCTGGCTCCCCAGGTCTGCCTGACACCAAATCTTCCAGGAGCAAGCCCACAGCAAGGTTTGCTTACATACATGGCATCCTCCAGCCCACTCAGAATTGGCCCCTTGACCCCTGACCCACGTCCTGTATGGATGGGGAAGCATGCTTTCTAGATGAGTGGGCTGAGTGGCAGAAAGAGGAACATGGAGGTTTTTCCAGGGTCTCCTCATGAGTCAGTCTGCACAGCTGGCCTCAGACCCTAAGCCGGGTGATTCATGTAGCCACTAGAGGCCTCAGCTGCGACAGACAGCTCACCAGCCTGGGCTGTCTGTGAATCATACCTTTGCTTCATGGGCCTGACCCTTGGAGCCAAAGGGACCTCACCTCTCAGTTATTCTCTTGTTCACCTGTATTTGTGACCTTCACACCTCCAACAAACAAGGAAAGACAGCCAGACCCCAGCTCCTGAGCTGACAGGGCTGATAATACTAGAGTACCTTGATTGCACATATTAAGGCTCCTCAGACCCAGAGGATCAAGAACCCCAGAAGCCAGGGCTCTTCATTTGAATGTTCTGTAAGTGTGTGAGCCAAGGAGAAAGCACTAGGTCGCCAGAGGGCTCCACCCACAGAGAATTCTGAGACCCGCATTGTTGACTGGATTCGACCTCAGACTGGAATAGCAATTGGCAGAAGCAAATGCTGTTTTCTAAGAGACTTGCCCAACTTTTCCATCTGCCCTGGGGAGCTTGTGCCAGAGACCACGACAAGGCACAACTGGGACCTCTCTCCAAGGGCCCAAATGGAAGTTGGGCTACCACAACTCGTGTCCCTGTAAGAAGCCTCACATGGCACTCATGAGAGTTGGGCCCAGTGATGGGGCTTTTAAGAAACCAGGGCTCTCATGGGGACCCAGTTCCATCAGTGAGCCTTTGGGTGCCTGGTGTGCCAGACACTGCTGGGAGAGCAGATTAATGCGGCCTTCACTAATGTTCCTCAAGGAGCCGGGAAGGTGCACGGCCACCCTGGAGTTCGTCTGTGTTGTCCCAGGAAGGACAGAGCACTGGGAAGGCCGGGGAAAGAAGACCAATTGAATAAGAGAAGACTAGAAGGTGAAACTTGTGCAGAGTGTAGTCCGGTACTGTTTAGAAACTGAGTTACTAAGGTTCTGTTGATTCAAGCACAGTGCTGGTGTTCAGGGAGGAAATGGTGTGATTGGAAAGAAAGTTGGGCTTAGGGCAGATGGCAGTTCTGTTGAGCTTACCCTGAGGGAGATGCAGAGCATGTGGACAACTATGCCTGGAGGCTGCGTGGACCGCTGGGGTAGCAGTGTGAAAATGCGGCAGGAGAAGTGTGTTTTTGGAAGAGGGGATGCGAGGCCTAAGAGGAGGCTCGTAGTCCTCCCCCTCCCTGGCCAGGGGGGCGGGTTCACCTTTTGGGTCCAGTGCTGTTTCCACTTGCAGCCTCTCCTGCATCTCCCCTCACAGGTGCCCCGGGGATCCTCAGAGCTGCTCTTTTCTTCCGAGGCTCAGCTACTTCTTAGCTCACCTGCCTCTTTCGGAACTGCTTCCACCCACCACAGCCACATCTGTCTGCCTGCAGATGTGTCCCTCTGCACAGGGAGAATCCTGAACCCAAATTTCTCCACAAGCCTCAGGGTCCCCAGGGGCACACAGGCTGTGTCATCTGGAGCTCAGCTTTTCCAGCCTTTTCCATAGGCTGGCATTGCCCCGCAGGAGCATGATTGCTGTCTCTAAATATCAGAGCCACTTTCAGCTCTGGGGAATCGGAGGCACTGATTCCGAGTCCAGTGTAAGCTGTTAAGATCTGACTTCCTCTCCCGCAAGGACTTTGTAGGAAGGGTGCAGCTAGCTAGCATAGACATGTTGGTGGTAGTGGTAGTAGTGATGGTGATGGTGGTGGTAGTAGTGATGATGGTGGTGGAGGTGGTGGTCTGTGTGTATCCATTCAGAGTGAGATAGGGATTTTCCTTAAGCCTCATTGAGCCTCTCCAGTGACTTGCTCTCCAGCTCTCTAAAGGAAGTATCTGGGCTACCTGAGACTCCTAGCCTGCTAGCTGGATGGTCAGAAGCCTCAGGATCCCCTCTTTCCTCTCCCAGGGGAGGCTGGCACTCTATGCTACCTCATATGTATGCCCCTGACTCTGTTCCCTGCCTCTCTGCTACAGATGCAATACCTGGATTCCATAGACGGTGAAGACCTGCTACTGACAGGGGAGGTGAGCTGGCGCCCTCTGGTGGAGAAGAATCCACAGAGCATCCTGAAGCCTCAGACTCCCACTTACAATGATGAAGGTCTGTGAGGGCCGGATCCTCCAGACAATTGGCCAGCTGGCTTTGAGGAACCTTGGTCGAGAGAAGTACTGTTTGATCCAAGATTCCATAGAGAGTAGCCTGAACTGACCTTTGAACAGCATCTGTCAAATACCTGGTCCTATTTGTGTTGTTTCCTCTTCCTGTGTCCTGGAGGCTGACCTGGTGGGGCAGAGCTGAGAACCCCTAGCTCTTCGGAGGTGTCCTCTCCTTCGAGAGGAGTCCCAAGCAAGAGCTTCCCAGTATGCACTCCCTCCAGCCACCACATTGACTTACATAGCTTTTCCCAAAGGCTGAAGAAAGGCTGGGTAGGTTGGAATGGGAGATGCTCCTACAAAGGCCTGCTGTGCCTAGCTGTTTGCAATGCTGCAGAATCAAGTCAGGGTAGCCACACTGTCCCCAGCCTTGAGCCATGGGGCTGAGTTGGTCATTAAAAGAAACAGAGATGTCATCTCTGCCATGGCGCTTCTTTGTCCAGGGGCTTTGGAACTCAGGTGAGGTGATGGATGTGGGAAGCTAAGAGCACTGCCCAGCTCAGTGACAAGAAGAGGGAGAGGTCAGGCTCTGGCCTCCACTTCTCAGAGAGGGGTCACCCTCTGACCGTAGCACAGCCTGCCAGGCTCATCTTTGGGATCCAGAAGGCCTCTGGTGGCCAGTGGTCCCATCACATCCTAAGTCATTTAGAAGTAGGCCTCAAGGACAAAGGACCCTTTGTCAGCCGCAGCAAGCTGGGCAAGAAGCACATGCTGTCCTTCTTCTCTTGGTCTTTCCCTATATGAGATACTGGCTTAGTTGTACTATACCAGGACCCAGCCCTGTGCCCAGCTTTCCACCCTCTTCCCCAACTTCCAGAACATGTGTTCAGAGCCACCTGAACTGGGCACTCAAATGTCAGTCCCTTTCCTTCTCTCTCTCTCTCTCTCTCTCTCTCTCTCTCTCTCTCTCTCAGTATGGGTCATCTCTTGGGGAATTTTTTTTTTAATTGAGCAAAGGGGGAAGGGAACCATCTTGCCCCTCCCTCCCCCATCAACTTCCTTCATTGAACTTGCTATAAAATGAGTCATATAAAGAAACTCTATACGGGTGAGGTATATCCCACTTCTGTGAAAACATTACAAATCAAACTGCCTTCTCTCGGTTTATTTAAGATGCTTTTGTTGCAAGCAGAGCTCTCGAGTGAAGCCTCCTCTGTGTGTGTGAGATAATAACACCTTGTAACTCATTACAGCTGGGCACTATTTACATAAACCAGAGCTGAGCCAGGCAGGAATTTGCTGATTAATTTATTTTTAATGGAGTGAAGTATACCATGCACCAAAATAAACTTTACTGTGTGTACCTAACTGCTCCTGGAATGGATGGAAAAATTAATGGAACAGATTTTGGCTCCCAACTCTGCACATTAATTCATATATAAAAGTTATTTGAGCATTAACCCATTTGCTGCCCAGGGCAGCCCCCTAGCCTCAAATCCCAGCCCCAGACACCAGTTTAGCTACCGGGCTTACTTTAGAATTATGAAACCTCATATTGAGGAAGAACTTGAAAGGTCATTTGGGCCAGCATTGGTCCAAGCCTGACTGGCCTTCTTCGCATCTGGGATGGCGTGTGTTCAGGCAGACCCTTGACTGACTCCCTCCCTCCAGTCACAGATAGACAGTCCTTGTTGCAGACCGGGCATACCCAGCAACTTGTAACATGCAGCCAGCGCTTGAAGGAGCCAGATTGGAGCTGTCATGTCTGTCGTCGTCTAGAGCCCTCACTTGTGGCTCTCAGGGTCTGTCACCGCTCACCTACTCCCCTTCCTCAGCTGAGATAAAACCAGGTATCCTGGGAGGTCTTGGGCTGTTTGTTTGACCTCTGCCCCTATTCCAGCCTGTGTTTATGAGTCTAATCGATTTCTTTCCTAACAGTCTGAACCCCCTGGGGTTACCTGGGCGCCGGCTATGTTGCCTCTCCCTGGAACTCCTCATCCTTCCCCTGCTGACTAAAGAGAGCCGTCACCTCCTGAGACCCAGACTCTGCCCTCTGCGGTCTGAGGGCTCCCGACAATGTCTGCTCACTTAGCACTTCCTTGCAATGCGAAGGTGATTTTCTTTAAGTAGTTCTATAAAAGGGTTTCCATTCAACATGTCAGTTTATGAGTACAATGCATCTTGATCAGTCACCCCTCTGAGGTGATTTTTTTCATGCCCGTCTCCCATACAACTCCCATGCAGCTGAGTGATACTGAGGGGACACCGTGTTGGGGTGGGTGACCCGTGCTTCCTGGAGGGGACACGGTGTTGGGGTGTGTCACCCCTGCTTTCCTGAGTCTGCATCCATGGATGCTCCGCTTATACATTGGTAAATTCGACACCAGTACAAGCTCAATATAAACTTTCTGGACCACTTGCAGTCTGATCTTCAGTTCCACTTACTTTAACAGTCCTTGCCCAGGTCTGAAACCAAAATCAAAGGCTGTAACTAAATGGCTTCCTATCATAAATCATTACACAAAGCAAGAAAAGGACATGATTTCTTGCCCCCCACCCCCACCCCCAGAGATTGTTCATTAGGAATGATTTTGTCATTTATTTGACCCAGAAAGGATCACAGCAAATTAAGAGATAGTTATAATAAACCCAGAAAAGTATTGTGAAGCAAAGGTTGCAAGATAAAAGTATTGTGAGGAAAGGGAAGGAAAATAATCCTATTAACAACCCTAGACTGCTAATCGTGACTTTTTTGGTAATTTTTTAAAATTACCACCAAAATTTTGGTAATTTTAAATGCATTGTCTTAACCACAGTCTTATAAAACAGGTCTTATCCTCTGTTTGCTCCGTTTGACCAACCCTTGTCCACAAGGCAGGGGACAAAAGACTCAGAGAGACCTACAAAGTTATACAAGATTCCTTCACACCATGTGACCCCGGGACGCTGCTCTTTCCCCAGACCACATTGCCTCCCTCAGGCCAGCAAGGAGACCTGCAGCTGGGTACAAAATTTTACTCTGAGCTTCTTGGCAGCCAAAGGTAGAAAAGAGAAAGCATTAAGTGTATGTCATTCTTACTGTCACATAAAAAGAAGCCTGATTCACCAGAAACGGTAAATAATTTACTCTTCAGAGGAGAGAAACGAGGTGTTAGGTTTTCACATGAGAAACCCTGAACAATGAAGTGAACTACTAAGATTTCAGTTTGGGCTGGGAAGGTGTGGCTCAGTGGTAGAGTGCTTGCCTTGCATGCATGAAGCCCTGGGTTCAATTCCTCAGCACCATCCTGAGTTCAAGCCCCATGACTAGCAAAAAAAAAAAAAAATTTCAATGTGATCTAAAAATGTTAAATAATTGCTGTTCAGTGTCTGCTCTGTGCCAGATATAGCTCAGAGCTGTCACTTGTTAGCTATCTCATTTAATCCTCTGTGACAATCCTGCAAGGTATTACAAGTTTATGTTACAGCTGGAGGAAACAAGATTTGCTGAGGGAAGGCCTAGATTGGCTCTGCTTGCATGCTCGGAGCCTCAAGCCTTCTGCTTCTACTTCAAGATAGAGAAAGGAGCACTTGCACTGCAGTTAAGAAGAAACCCATACCAGCCCATGCTGGTATGTGCATAATCACAACTAACTGGAAAAATCACAAGTGGGTTGGAAGTCAAACAAGCCCTGATGGCAGTCAGGTCAGAAAGAAGTGGAAAAGTTAGGGAGGTAGAAAGCAGGGAGTGAGGGGCTGTCCAGATGAAGACATGGGACATGAGCTTTTCACAGGATTGCTCAGGGAGGGAAAGGATACAGAGATCAGGGCTTTGAGCAAGGCAACAGGAAGATACTAAACGTTCTCAGTAAAGATTGTGGCTTAAAGCTGGGTACAGGTACTCATGCCTGCAATTCTAGCTACTCTGGAGGCTGAGATATGATCACAGCTTGAAGCCAGCCTGAGCAGGAGACTCCTATTTCCTGTTAGCCACAAAACAAAAACAAAAAAAAATCAGGAAGTAGAACCGTGGCTCAAGTGGTAGAGCCTGAGCCTTGAGCAAAAAATGCTCAGGGGCAGTGTTCAACCCTTGAGCTCAAGTCCCAGGACGGACGGACACACACACACACACACACACACACACACACACACAAATTACATGATTGTGGCTTGACAGGAGCAGAAATTCACAGGGAAGATGAGCCCAGCCAGGAAGAGAGTCTATAAGCCATCTAGGCTTGGGGTTCTGGGGCTAAGTAGGGATTCAAAGGAAAGTTCAAATCACAGACCTTTCAGAGGAAAAGATTCCTCAAGATGACATCTAACTGCTCAAGGCGCTAAAGAACAGTCAAGAGTTCTCTGGGGCCAAGGATGGTGCTGTGAGAAGCTTCTTTGTATTGTTTTTCCCACATGGCCTACAGCAGCCTGTGAAGACAGGCAGGGCAGCCTGAGAAAAAGACCCGAGACCTTGCTGGGTAGTGTCCAGGAAGGGAGAGACTACAGTGTTGGTGCTAAAAGGCACTTGGAAAACTGCTCAACCATCATTTGATAGGTAGAGAGGGGGCTGGGCCGTGAGAAGCCTCACTCCAGATCACAGGGACCAGAACCCATGGACTGACAGTTCCTTTTTCCCTTGTCAGCCAAGGAAGTTCTTCCAACTCCCAGCCCCTCGTTGAGAACGAGCCTGCCAAAAGGGCTGTCTCTAGCTGAGCGGGGGACGCGGTTCTTAGGTGGTGCTCATGAGCACTAAATCGCAAGTACTTGGTTTCTACATCAGTTTATTCTATGGCTTATAATTATTTATGAGTCTACCTTCCTCATCAGGGCAGACATCAACTCTTACTCATCTTTGAACCCCAGTGCTGGCTTAAAGTAGGTGTTAAATCCCTGGTGGGTGGATTGGACTGAGGGAGAAGAGCAGGTAGGATGGCTGTAAGATCCCAGGGGGGCTGGGAAGATGGCTCAGTGGTAGAGTGCTTGCCTTGTATGCTGGGTTTGATTCCTCAGCACCACATACACTGAAAAAACTGGCAGTAGCGCTGTGCTCAAGTGGTAGAGCACTAGCCCTGAGCTGAAGTGCTGAGGGACAGCACCCAGACCAGAGTTCAGGCCCCACTACTGACAAAAAAAAAAAAAAAAAGCCAAGGGGGTCAATAGGCAATGATACCTCTTACTCCTCTCAAGTTCAAAGTGGATTGAAAAATAATATAAAAGAGCCAAATGGATATCCAACTAGTAGCTCTACCAATATTATTGGGAAAAGTTACGTTTTGGCTGGGTGCTGGTAGCTCACGCCTATAATCCTAGTTCTTCTGGAGGCTGAGATCTGAGGAGTGAGGTTCAAAGCCAAATGGCTAAGAGTCTCAGTCCTTATACAAACAGGAAACAAAAACGGAAGTGGAGCTGTGGCTCAAGTCATCAAGCACTAGCCTTGAGCAGAAAAGCTCAGGGATAGCATCTAGACTCTGAGTTCAAACCCCAGGACTGATACATGTACACACACACACACAAAGTTAGGTTTTGCTCAATAGCCAAATGGACTTAGTAATATCCTCCCAGAACTAGACATCCTGTCCTCCTGTCCTCCTATGAAAGGGTAGGCCTTTGCCTCGCAGGATTTCCTGTGTTCATCTTTGTCTATACTAGGACTAATGACGGAGCGGGGAGGAGAGGAGTGAGGGCATGGAAGAAGAGCATCCAGGTCACACCTCCTCTCCCAGCCCTCCTCTTGTGGAAGTGGCAGAGGGATGCATTTCCCACCACTGAAGGGGATGAGCGGATGGGAGCACGGGGGGAGGGGAGGAGGATGTGGGCAAAAGCATGAGACTATCATCACTACATAGACCTAGACCTTTCTGAACCAGAACATTAATATGTCCAGTCAGTGTGCTGGGGGTGTGTGGACTCAAGTGTGTGCATATGTATGCAGAAGGAGACAAGATGTTCCCTATGAGCTGGGATAAGAGGCCAGATCCCCAAGGGGGTGGTAGTGATAGGGCCAATTTTCAGTCTGGAAGGACCAAGAATAGGAGCAGCTGGTTATTGCCTTATCTGTACTGGGCCTGTGTCCTTTCACAGACTGCAAAACTCTGAAATTCAACAGCTACTGAGCAACTACTCTCAATCAGATTAGCACAATTATTACAACTGAATGAAGAAAACTTTAGAGATGCAACTCCTGTGATTCAGAGAACTTGACCTCCTTCATTAAGTAGCAGAACCATTGTTCCAACCTGGAGGCTCTGATTCAGTCCAGTGGCACAACTGTAGTCACTGGGTCCCAAGCCCTGGGGGGGAGGGGGGAGGGGGGAGGGGGGAGGGGGGAGCGGGAATCTCAGGATAAGAGAACTCTGAATAGTGGCCTCCTGAAGACCTATGTGGTTCTCTGT